TTTTTTGAAGTTTATAATGGTTTCAACACGTCTTACATAATATCTTAAGTATGTATTCTCATATCTTATATATCTTTCTTCTCATAGAAAATTACCTGTACCTGGATTATATAAAATAGTGGATGAAATCTTAGTTAACGTGCTGACAACAAGGTACGTTTATTATAAACGTCTGTTAGTATCTTTAAGTTGTGTGTTGATTATCTAAAATTTTTTTCGTTAATGTCAGGTTCGAGACAATAAATGAACTTTATTAAAGTTTTTTATTGGCGAAGGACGTTAAATTTCCATCTCTAATAACGGAAAAGAAATCCCTATTGAAATGCACGAGGATGAAAAGTCTCGACTCATCTTTTCGCAGCTTCCAATTATGATGATTAGGAAAGAAAGTTTCCTGTGGTCGTAATGGTTTCGGTGCTAAATTAGCAAATATATTCAGTATTGAGATCATTTTGGAAACAGTTTCAAATGGCAAAATATCGCCAAACTTTCAGGAACAATATGATCGTAATCGAACAACCAATTCTCACTACTTGTTCCGAAAATGCTTGTGACTACACGGGGTCATCTTTACAAAAATTTAAGATGACTCGGTTTGATGATGATATAATTTCTCTCTCAGCATACGATTTGGCGGGGTGTTAAGGAACTTCAAATTTTCTTGAATAATGAACAATAACGTCAATAATTTTAAAGAGTACATACATTGTATGTGAGTGATCGCGAAGACTTACAATCTTCATTTAGTGTATGATAAATGTGGTGACCGATGGGAAATTGGACCCTTCCTTATACTGATTCTCAATTCCATCATGTAAGTGTTCAGTTCTTTTTTTTTCCTTGATCTTGCATTAAATGGTTAAGCGAAATTCGTATAATTCTAACATTATTTCGTTATTCTTCAATCAAAAAATAGATAAGTTTCGTTAACAAAATATGTACTACGAAAGGAGGTACCCGCGTTAATTACATCGCAGATCGACTTGCTGAAAGAATCATAACAGCGGTCAAAAATAAGAATAAGAACGCAAAAATAAAAAAGAATCACATCAAAAATCATGTGGATAATCATAAACTGTTCAATTGAAAACCCATCCTTCGATTCTCAGACGAAAGAAATCTTACATTAAAGCCGCATCATTTGAATCTACATGCGATCCAGGTGACGTCTTCTTTAATAAACGTAAGTAATTGTACTCATAGCATATCATATAACTTTTGTTTTATACTTTAAAATATATATATACATGACCTTTTGATTTTCTCCTATATATTAGCTTTCAATGTGATATCATTGACCACATGCTGGATGAAGTTAATTATAAACTAAATAAAGAATTAAAGAAGACAGACGGAAAAAAAGTGCAAGTAGTTAAGTAAATTGATTGTTGGTGGGATTAATAAAAAAATTTTTTTGTTTAATAGAATCACTGGCATTTTGAAATTAGAAGATGCAATGAACACTGACGGTAGAAATGCTAAGGACTGTTTTTAAACCTTACCGAAAGTGACTCTGCAAAAACTTTGGCAGGTGCCGGGCTTTCCGAAGTTGGACGTGATAAGTATGGAATTTTTCCACTCCTGGGAACATTTTAAATATTCGTGAAGTGATCCATCCCAGATCATGAATAACTCGGAGATTCAACAAACAAAGCAACTCCTTGGACTGAGAAGAATATATATCAACGAGCGAATTACGTCAACAAGCGAATTACGGTATGGCATCTGATGATCAAGATCACGGGAATACACCAAACCAATCGGAAAACATTAAATCACGCTATAAATAAAATAATCGTGAGATCCAATAATAATGTATCTAATTTATTAGTATATCAAAGGGTGATAAAGAGTGTCATTCTTTTTCATGCCTGAATATGAAAATCGGAAGGAAATGACCCCTAATGCTAAATTGGAGGTCAAATATTACAAGGTAATATCTTTGAAGATAATTTTTACAACAATCGACTTTACTAACTAATACTGTTGTAATATTTTAGGGTCTTAGTACTTCTATTAATACCCGGGAAGCCAAAAAATATTTCACAAGTTTAAAGCGTCATAAAAAACTTTTTAGAGCTCTTCAAAAAAATGAACGATTTGGCCTTTAATAAACAGATAGCTGATGATCGCAAAAAATGGTTAAGTAATTATGAAGTTTGTGTAGATTTTGTTTCCTTGATTCCAATCAGATGTAACCTTTTTAACGAAATTTCACATTCCAAAAATTTATATTCTTCCAGTCCGGTACCTACATGAATCCTGATGAGGAAGAAATCACGATAAAGAATTTTAAAAATAAAGAATTGATTTTGTTCAGTCAAGCCCGAAAATGAACGTTTGATTCCAAAAGTTTTTTACACGTGCTTTAAGAAAAGTACAAGAACGAAATTAATGTTTCTTCGTTAGCCGGGAACAAGCGGCATATCACCATGGTGATGCAAGTCTTCAAGTTCCAATCATCGCAATGGCTCACGATTTTGTCGGTTCAAATAACATCATGGCGAAGGTCAATTTGGTACAAGTGCTCAAGGAGGAAAAGATGCAAGTTATTGCTCATTATATTAACGTTGCCATGACAGCATTGACTCGAAAAATATTTCATCCTCATGACTTATTACCAACATATTGTAATTATGACGGTCAGCTGGTAGAACCAGAATGGTATTTCCAATTCTGCTAATGATCTTTGTTAATGGATCCGAGGGTATCGGAACCGGTGAGTTTATTTAACAACCTGCATATTAAGAATTTTGCAAGACGTATAATAAATTGATTTTTCTTATAATATTAGAGAGTTCATTCATTCCAAATTACAATCCTCGCAATATCGTTGATAATTTAAACGATTAATTAACAATGAAAATTCAATTCCAATGCATCTCAGTTAGGGTTCCAGGTAATATTATTAATAATCATTTAATAGAATCCTCTAACAGACTTTTGATTGGTCAACTATCTTTCGGTTAATTATCTTTTGGTTAATTAACCAGGTTAATTAACGCCCATCCCCTAATTCCTGAACACCCTCCAATCAAAATTCAGTAAAATTCCGCTTCCTTAAGCGTTTTTTTTCTATTCAAAGAAATATATTTTCTTCTAAAATAATATCATGAGATTTTACATTTGAAATTCTTATTAACGGTAAGGTTTATAATAAAAAAAAAAAAAATCACATTAAAACACGAACTTAAATTAAATTTATGTTTTTTTAGATACAGAGTTGGTATCTTATTCGCAATAAGCTATTGATAAAAAAAAAGAAAGGTAAGTACGGGTTATTAATTCTTATATTTATCATTTTTTTTTTTTTTTGTTACATAAAACTTAAATGATTATTATATTCTTTTTATTTTTCTTTATTTTTTTTAGTAAATATGTAACTTATGTGTTCCGGAGTCTTCCAGTCATTTGCTATTAGAGTTGGAACTTATTTAGGGGTTTACAAATTGTTGATGGAAAGAATGATTACACATGTGGAAATTAATCCTATGAACCGAGAGGAACCATATACATATATTTACACAACCACAACAAATCCATTTTTACCTCTTCAAATTTGATCCAGAAAAGCGGATTGATGATAATGTATACATTTCGAACATGCCGAAATGTAGTCTCTCAAAAATCACAAAAATAAAGGTGGTTTTACCTTTATTATTAAAGAAGATCAGCAAAAATTGATTGAAAAATAAAAGAAAAAAAAAAATAAAAATTGATATATATTTTACGAATAAATTTGTTTTTAAAGATATCTTTACAAAGATTTATTTAGTTATAAAATAAAATAAGTCTTGGGTTATATGTTTCGATACTATGTTAAAACAAAAAAATATGGGACACGTGGTTGTGAATATGCTATAGGCATTAATTTCTAATCTTCCAGGAATAAAACATTGGTTATAGGCCTCTTAGAGTCAATTTCCCATAAACTCCTGTTTTCTAATCCTATTCTACTACCCTAAATCATCAATGATAAAATCACTTCATGTAGAAGAGAATCGCCCAAGTAGTAATAGCATAATTTAAAATTTAAGTCAAATCCGAGAAAAGTATTAATGAAATTGCATATACAAGTTCTCACCAAGGTACAATAAGAACCAGATCGCAAGTCATCATTAGTTCAAATATTAATCTTATCACTTGAATGTCTACCAAGAACAAAGAAATTTTCACAAAAGTATATGTCTAAGCAGGGTTGGGAAAAGTTGAGCCCAAATATCATGAATTGAACGTTCGAATTCGTTTTTATGAAGTAATTTCGGCATTATCAATTAAAGGTTATCTATTTTCAAGAAATATTAAAATCATTTTATAAATTAGGAAAAGGAATTTCTAAATTCTCAAGTTGGTAAATTTTTAATTAAAGCAGGAAGAGCATGGGTAATAAAAGCTAGAATATCAGGAATTGGTATCACAATTATGTTCTTATATTTTATAAGAGCATTCTTATAATGCATCCTATTTACCAGACAATAATACCCCTTAAAATCATGAAATACTTGTTTTACAAATTTGAGACAATTACAAGATTTAGCGATTCAATTATTCTCTATTATTCTAAATACAACTACTTGTGAATGAGTTTGGTTATCTATTGGATGGATTTATGAAAAGAGACAAAATCATTTTAATTTTAGTACAATAGAATCTTTAACTAAAATATATCAATATTATATTACAAATGAAGACAAAAATTACATTATAATATTATAGAAAAAGACAGATAAAATAGTACAAATGGTTGAAAATTCATTGATTAAAAGTTATGAAGAAGAGAAAATAAGTGATAATGAAGCTCAAGTATTATTCAAATTAAATGAACTTGTGATAGTTGATAATTTTAATACAATTGAAAAATTAAACATAATGTCAAAATTTAATTTAAAACTGTTAGTTATTATAGATTATGTTTCACATAACAAAGATCAGGAAAAATTTAATAAAGATATTGTGTGTGATATTTTATTTTAAGAAAAATATATATATGTGAAACTTTTTTATTTCACTTTTTTTTGAATATAAATAAGCATCTTTATTTGTTTTAGTTTATATAAAGCAATTTGGAAACGATATTCATATGAATTGTTTTTAATTTTCCGATTACCTCTCCCCAAGTGATTATTGTAAAACGTATCCTCCCCCCTGTAAACTAATTCCTGCATTAATTCGGATTTTAATGGTGCATTTTAAAGCAATAACCACGATAAAATTATAATAAAAAACAATTTTTTTAGGAACACTTTATTTAATTAATTTTTCCTATGAAAATTTATTTGTCTTTTATTTTCGATCATTAAAATCCAACGTTTTACGGTAATCAAAAGGCATCAATAATGGATACTCGGGAAAATTCTTTCGATTTCGAAAAATAATAATTGCGATTTCACCGGAAATTCTTTCGAATTTTAATTTTACTAGCCACGTCAATCACTTTATTTTATTTGTATTTTATATCTAAATTAGTACTGGAACATTAAGTTAAATAAAATAATACATTACAATACGAGAAACAAATTTTATTACAAAGGTTATTTTTGAAAAAAAAAGCCTTTGTTTTTTTTTTTGTTTATTATAAAAATAAGAATCTTGTTTTTGAAAATCAATGCGGCGTCATTTGCTATTTAACATATTTAACAATACAT